GCTATTCAATCTATAACAGTGAAAAAAGTGTTTTGTTTTTTTAAATCCAGGCTTTGTGTCACCAGATCTAATCGGTGGCACTGGTCAGCGTATCCACTGTTAGCGTAACACACCCGCTTTAAGGACACTGACTGCTATTCAATCTATAACAGTGAATAAAGTTTTTTGTTTTTAAATGCAAGCTATTATGACACCAGTGAGTGGTGGCACTGGTCACCTTATCCACTGTTAGCGTAACACACCCGCTTTAAGGACACTGACTGCTATTCAATCTATAAACAGTGAAAAAAGTGTTTTTTTTTTAAATCCAAGCTATTGTGACACCAGATCTAAGTGGTGGCACTGGTCACCGTATCCACTGTTAGCGTAACACACCCGCTTTAAGGACACTGACTGCTATTCAATCTATAACAGTGAAAAAAGTGTTTTTGTTTAAATCCAAGCTATTGTTACACCAGATCTAAGTGGTGGCACTGGTCACCGTATCCACTGTTAGCATAACACACCTGCTTGAAGGACACTAACTGCTATTCAATCTATAACAGTGAAAAAAGTGTTTTTTTTTTAAATCCAAGCTTATGTGACACCAGATCTAATTAGTGGCACTGGTCAGCGTATCCACTGTTAGCGTAACACACCTGCTTTAAGGACACTGACTGCTATTCAATCTATAACAGTGAAAAAAGTGTTTTGTTTTTTTAAATCCAAGCCATTGTGACACCAGATCTAATTAGTGGCACTGGTCAGCGTATCCACTGTTAGCGTAACACACCCGCTTTAAGGACACTGACTGCTATTCAATCTATAACAGTGAAAAAAGTGTTTTTTTTTTAAATCCAAGCTATTGTGACACCAGATATAAGTGGTGGCACTGGTCACCGTATCCACTGTTAGCGTAACACACCCGCTTTAAGGACTGCTATTCAATCTATAACAGTGAAAAAAGTTTTTTGTTTTTTAATCCAAGCTTTGTGTCACCAGATCTAAATGGTGGCACTGGTCACCGTATCCACTGTTAGCGTAACACACCCGCTTTAAGGACACTGACTGCTATTCAATCTATAACAGTGAAAAAGTGTTTTGTTTTTTTAAATCCAAGCTTTGTGTCACCAGATCTAAGTGGTGGCACTGGTCACCGTATCCACTGTTAGCGTAACACACCCGCTTTAAGGACACTGACTGCTATTCAATCTATAACAGTGAAAAAGTGTTTTTTTTTTAAATCCAAGCTATTGTGACACCAGATATAAGTGGTGGCACTGGTCACCGTATCCACTGTTAGCGTAACACACCTGCTTGAAGATAACTAACTGCTATTCAATCTATAACAGTGAAAAAAGTTTTTTGTTTTTAAATCCAAGCTATTGTGACACCAGATGTAAGTGGTGGCACTGACTGGGGAAATGGGCACAGTATGCACTGTGAGCCTGGCACAGAAGCTGGCAGCAGTGGCAGACAACTGACTGCTATTCAATCTATAACAGTGAAAAAAGTTTTTTGTTTTTAAATCCAAGCTATTGTGACACCAGATGTAATTGGTGGCACTGACTGGGGAAATGGGCACAGTATGCACTGTGAGCCTGACACAGAAGCTGGCAGCAGTGGCAGACAACTGACTGCTATTCAATCTATAACAGTGAAAAAAGTTTTTTGTTTTTAAATTCAAGCTATTGTGACACCAGATGTAATTGGTGGCACTGACTGGGGAAATGGGCACAGTATGCATTGTGAGCCTGACACAGAAGCTGGCAGCAGTGGCAGACAACTAAGTGCATTTACATTACATAGAAAAAATAAATAAAAAAAAAGCATACCCTTATCCCTAACCTAGCTATGCTTTTCCCTATCTTATGAACAGCAGCTACACTTTCCTCCTCTTACTAAGCATGCAGCTTGAGAATGAATCTAAAATGGATGCTGTCCAGTAGGTGGGAGGGTCTGCTAGGGAGGCTGTGCTGCTAATTGGCTGGAATGTGTCTGCTGACTGTGAGGTACAGGGTCAAAGTTTACTCAATGATGACGAATAGGGGGCGGGTCGAACCGCGCATATGTCTGCCCGCCGTGGCGAACGCGAACATGCTATGTTCGCCGGGAACCGTTCGCCAGCGAACCGTTCGGTACATCACTATTTATTAGTCATTCATGATAGCTCAATTCATGCCCAGATCATTTTACTCGGTATTTATCAGGTGGATGTAGTTGGCTTGCCATATTGTGTTTGATGTCCACTTTGTATACTGTTAAAGCATTTAGCATTACCTTCACACTAGGGGTGAGACCTTTGGTATAATCAACATTATTTATCATGACATTTTTGGGAGATTGATTCATCCTTTCTGGTTTTGCTACCAATCAAACACACAATATTATCCACAAAATATAATGGGGTAAAATATTTAAAATAAATCTATAATGGCGTTAGTAGTTTTGTTTTTCTTGTTTCATGAATACTACAACTTGCAATATCAGTGTTGTTCATTTGTAAAAGATAAATACGAGTGCAAAGATTTAACTGATATGTACAATGACATTTTCCCATACTCCTTTACTATTACTATAGCCGCTTGGAAGAAGCAAGTAACAGTTTGGTTCTTTCCATCATACTCTTAGATGCCAGGAGTCTTTCTTTAGAATAAAATGGATGCATTATTGTCTAAGCAGAGTGCTAAATGTGCTTTACAAAGATTATTCGGACAAAGAAAAAATAATTTCAGATAATTCTTTTTCTTTTGTTTAAAGATAATATTGTTTCAAGTGCCTGAAATGTTCACTTCAGCACTTTGGCTTAGATTTCTTTTACAAATAAATACAAAAATGTAGTTTACAGATTTTCTATTGTTTCTCACTATTTTGTGCTTGAACAAAGCAACACATTGATTATTTTGATAGCTGCTATTGCTAGCACAGCACAAATTACAATTTAATGGGATCAGCTTAACACTACACATAAAACAGATGTCAATATCATTCAAACTGATTGATATTTGATACACAACATATTATAGTACCTAAATCTTTCTTTTAAATAAATCCTAATAAAAAAAAAACATAAATACCAAACATTATAATTAAGTAAACAAAAAGAGAAACATTAAAAAAATTAATATGTAATTATGGATAATATAGTTTTAGATATTACATTTAACTATTTATTGGAAAGGCCATTGAATATGCACACTCACCAGAGGAAAATGTGAAAATTTTAATTAGATACATGTAAAAAATAGGAAAACAGGGAAAAAAAGAAAGCTGCTACTTCTTTAAAGGAACACTATGGCATCAGGGATACAAACATGTATTCCTGACCATGTAGTGTAAAAAAACAGCATCTAGCCCTCTGGTCTCCCCTAACTCCCCTAAACATAGTAAAACCTTACCTTGGAAACGGTAAAAATAAACCAGGTGGGGTCAGTGGAGAGGGAGGAAAACTAAAGGTAGAGGAAACAGTAAACTGGGGAATAGGAATAGAGAATCCCAATGAACATTCCAGAAGAACTGTAAAATATATATAACCCTCTACCTTTAACAACTCAGACGAGTCGAACTAACTAACCCTAATGGCACTTCTATACCACACAAAACTAAGCTAGTCTCTCTAAAGCCACAATTCCCCTATACCTGGTAAGTTGGATTGCTAAGTAAAAAAGCCATTAATTAAATCATAAGTGCTGTCTAAGTGCTACCTAGTGTCTAAAAATACATAAATATCTCAATTCTTTTTTTATTTTTAGACACTAGGTAGCACTTAGACAGCACTTAGGATTTAATCAATGGCTTTGACAGTAAGGATTGACAGAGGGGAGAGATGTGAGAGGAGTAACAGGAGAGGATAATCAGTATAGCTGCAGCATTCATTACAGACTGTAGTGGGCAATACGACTTGTGGGAAGACCTGTTAGTAGAGAGTTACGATAATCCTTGCGAGAGATTTCTAGAGGATGGAAAAGCTCCTTATTAGCATCTTTTGTAACAAACGGGCAGATGCAGACTATGTTTTTAAGGTGGAATCTACAGGATTTGGTAACAGACTGGATGTGAGGCTCAAATATGAGGCAAGAATCAAGTATAATGCCAAGACAGAGCGCTTGCAAGGATGAACTGATGTGGGTACCACTCACTTGAAGGGAGAGTGAAAGATGGGGATTAGAATTAGGAAGAGGAAAGACAAGGAGTTCAGTTTTAGAGAGATTGAGTTTCAAAAAGCTGTAGAACATCCAATCAGAGATGAAAGAAAGGCAAGCAGTGACACGTTGCAGGACGGCAGGGGAGAGGTCCGTGGAGGAGAGTTATATCTGCGTGTCATCAGCATACAGGTGGTATTGGAGTCCAAATGAGGTAATAAGTTTGCCGAGAGAGGCAGTATAAAGAGAAAATATAAGGGGACCAAGGACAGGGCTTCGGGGGACTCCAACAGAGACAGGACGAAGGGAGGTGGTATCATTAGAAAGGGAGACACCGAATGAACATTGGGTGAGATAGGAGGAAATCCAAGAGAGGACAGTGTCACAGAGACCGAGTGATTGAAGAGTTTGGAGAAGGAGAACTAGGTCAATAGTGTCAAAGGCAGCAGAAAGGTCAAAAAGAATTAGTATAGAGTAGTACCCATTGAATTTAGCTCTGATTAGGTCGTTAGTGACTTTAATAAGAGCAGTCTCAGTAGAGTGGAGGGGGCGGAAGCCAGATTGAAGAGGGCCAAGGAGAGAGTTGGAATTGAGGAAGCAAGTCAGACGGGTACAAAGACAAGTCTTTCCAGAAGCTTTGAGGAGAAAGGGAGCAGGGATATGGGACGATAGTTAGAAGTGGAGGATGGGTCAAGAGATTTTTTTTTTTTTAGATGGGTACTACAGTAGCATGTTT